CATTTTGCTGATTTCAGTTACGAGAACGTTTGCACGAATTTATGTATGAGCACATTAGTGTTACATTTTAAATGAACGTCCCATTGGGTGAAGCTTTTTTAACAAAATAAGTTAATGATCCATTGCAATGTAGGGTTTTTTAGCGGATAAGTAACACTGAGCACCGGTCCCTAGTTCGACCTTTTTAATCCAAAAGTTTCAAATTGGGAGCTTCTATCTGAACTGGCTAGAGCTTGTCTCCTGTGAAATCAAATAAATTTGGTTCTTCAATGATCACGGTATATTCGAGTCTGGGGGGAACGACGATGTAGGGAGGATAGCTAAAGTAGACGTACTGTGCAGTTAGGGTTTTTTAGTATTCACATTTTTCATCAATTCTTATAATTTGTACAACCGCCATGATTGCCTGTAAAATCTCTGTATTAAAAAATTAGCATTTAGCCTTTCGTTCCGATTTTGTGAACATATAGCATGACCAATTGGTTATCACTCACAAATACATTGCTACACATATAGGCCATTCTAGTTTCTGAACAGATTAATCTACTCATTGTTCTGAGGCCATATTTTAACCTTGTCACTTATTGGCTTACTAAGTTTGACTGTTTTTATATGATCGTATATGTGTTAACTACTTATCCCATTCATTATATGTCTGTGACTTCTTTTTGGTCTGGATATAAATACTGAGTAACGTTAGACTGAATTGAGTTCACTCACATGCCTTCTCAGATTCGTTTCGCTTCTTCCTCTGAGTGTCTCTGTGTTGGGGACGTCAGATCCCTAAAACTCACTTGGGATAGGACCTAAGTTTGTAATTTTATTTAGAAAATTTGAACTTCTTTGTTTTCGCGCCAAAAGCGCTCTTGTCACCTTCATGTCGTATTTCCCACTGGGAAATATCCTAAATGCTATTATTCCGTTGCATCTTTTAGTATGCTATTTGGCAACTCTCCCCAAGGACGGTTCTGTTTTATATATATACTTTTTGAATGGTGTTTGTTGTTATCGCTCGTTCCTGGCTGTTTACAGAATATACTTCCCCATTCCAAGCTTGGACTTCTTCCTCTAGTTAGCGGGGCTGAGACGCATCAATATCTCGCTGACTAGTCTTCTGTCACCGAGTCTTTTTTCTCGTTCTCAGATTAAGTGAACTCGTGATAGCTTCAACCCTAGCAATCTGATTGTTTGTTCCGATCAAAAATTGTGTGAAATATACCTATTAAAAAGTTATCTGAATCATAGTGTGCTACGTACCACCGATACGGACAAATATAAGTAGTATTTATTAAAAGGTGTATGTAGAATGCCTACTAGTAGAACGTTGAGAAGTCTGAATTAGAAGGAACAGGTAGAGAATAGATAGTAGTTGTAATAACAACAGAAATGGGAGAATCATGAAGTATTCCAAGGACAACTGAATAAAGATATGCGAGTAATGTATTTAAAGTACGGTTTTTATATCTTATGAAGGCACTCTATGGTTTTGCACTTATCAATAAATTAGTGTTCCCCACCTTAGTTCTCGTTCACCACAATAGAATAGTATAATTAGAATTGAAGACCCTGTGAGTTATTGAGTGTCTAATTAAGTACCTATAAGGATGCCGTGAGTGAAGACTGCTGACTAGATTTGCTCTACATTACCAGACAGCCTCAAGACACCAAATGTAGTAGCCCAGGGTTCGAACAATTCTATTTCTTAACATTCATTGGCCCTTGACATGCATTTTTGATTCCCAAACTCTTTTGTCTTCAAAATTCAAATTTACGGACAAAATGCAATGAAAATAGAACTATGATAATTAGAAGTATTCGAAATGCTGTATTAACTAGGAACTCCCGAAACTGCAATTTAAGCCAAGTGAAAGTAGGTGAGCACAAACAAACGTATTGCATTTAAAATTTGAAATCAATCAAAGCCTGTCAAAGATCTTCATAACGTAGCGGGGATATAAGATGCAGCGACATCCGCTAGCAATTTATCCATTCGAACTAAATTGGTCAAAATCTACTTCAGTTGCTTTAGGCTTTTATTTAGACGAATTAATGGTCGCCACAGGTTTCTAAATATGGATACAAATTGAACTGAAGTCTTAGGGGTTCCAGATTCAGATGGTTAATTCATATAGCATATCTTTACAAAACGCCGATATTTTTTCTCCTCAATAAACTAACGAGACCTGTTCTAGGTCCTTCACTCCTTATACTGTATATAAATGAACTCCCAAGTGTAGTTGAGTCCCTGATGCTACTTGACGCTGATGATGTAAAAATTTGGCGAGAAATAACAGGCGACGTGGATGAATGTTCACTTCAGACAGATTTAAATGTTCTGGTTAGGTGGTCTAAAAACTGACTGTTGCTTATCAATGCAACCAAGTGTATCTACATGCACACTGAGGGTACCAAGATGATGATTTAAAAATTACGGCTTAGTGCCGCGCGGTCACAGCTAAGAGGCTGACAACCCCATGGGCTTTAAGATGAACAAGTACCAAGATGAATACTAATATGTCCACTACAGTACATACAACCTTAGTGAGATCCAAACTTAAAAACTGAGTTCAGGCTGCAAGCTCCTTTATAAAGATGACCGGAATACCATTGAAAAAAGGCAGAGAGCAGCTAGCCGTGCAGTTCCAGGACTCCCGACTTTCTTATACAAGGAGTGGCTTGCGAAGTTAGACCTCTATTCTATGCCCTACCACAGACTAAGAAGCGATCTAGTTTTGAAATACGAAATTTTAAGAAGTGATCTTGGACCTGAAATATCCTTTTTTCTTCATTACAAATCGGAACAACTGAGAGAATATGGCAACCAAATGCGGACAAAGTACCCATGATGTATAAGTTTTCACACCGAGTGTTCAAATACTGGGACCACTACCCGAATAAGTGGTGTCCGCCCGTACAAGTGACTCACTCAAGAAAAGACTAGACAATTTCAGAAGTTTGCCAGAAAAGAGCTAACATAGACCGTATGTCTTCTGTCCTCAAAATACTAATCTGATCTGAGTTCATACCGTCAAGCGCTATATTTGAATGTTGCGTTACTGAGTATTAGTGTATTTTCTTAACAAGGTATTTCTGTCTGGCTTTTCATAAGACCAAGTCACAGCGTGTTACCTAATATCAAAAGTTGTTGACCTCCAGTTTGGCTGATTGATTCAGATTCTCCTTATGCTACACTTTATTTGATATTAGGAGGAATCAACGAAATTATAATCCTACATGATTGCATTGGTCGTAGAGTTGATGTTTTGCCTAATTTATAAGGGATAAACATGTAGTATCATCTGTATTGCTTTACTTATTAAGGTACACATATTACGAAATTTCCCCATGAGACTGCGGATTTTCCAGCCTATAGTCAGTAATAAAGATCGTGAGCTGGTTAACCTGTCCTAATTCATGCAGTATTTTTTCGTAAATATTCCGTTTCTTCCTGAGAGCGTACACCGTTTTCCAGGTCGTTCCAATTGTTTACCACTAGAGAGGAGGAGCGGGAACCCAAACTGAGTTTATTCGATCGTGGTCTTTGGGTTCTTATATAACGGTTCCGGATATAGCAAATCTTGAAGAATACAACATAGTAAAACGTGTTAGTACCAGAGTGTTTTGCTTCAGATCTCGTGTCAGTGGTATTTCATCAGTAGTGTTGCTTTGGCTTTTACCAAGGCAGTGCTTTATTAGTGCACTTTTCGTGGAGTTTGAACATAGGCTTTAACTTTTAACCATTTAGCTAGTTTTTAAAGACTCATTTAAAGCTCTAGCCTAGAAGTATTACTACGTGACACATTCAAAGCGTTTACGCATCCTGAACATATGAGTAATGGTGATCTGAATTGCATCGCGATCCGTTAATGTAAGGCAGTTATTGTAGGGAACCAAAGGTCATACTTAACAGTTAACCATCTTTTACAGGTTTTTATTCATTGCGTCCGGTTCATACCGTGAGGAGCAGTTAATTTGAGCATAAACATGACCTCAAAAGACATTTCCCTTTAATATAGGGAGATTTTGAAGGTTCTTCCTACCACTCTCGATTGTGAAAAAATCACCCCAAAGAGCCTATAAAGATACTAGCAATGCTTCCTATATTATTACAGTCATATATATACATAATAGTGCAGCAGATAACTTAAAGAAACACCACTTGACTAAAGAACTATTGCTCATTAAGAAAGTTATCCTACAGCTACTTTGGCTTCTGAGCAGCTTATGTCAATCTGCGCCATCCTTGGCACTTTAATGATGTTGGTCTGGCTGTAAATGGCCGGATCTAAAACGCGTCGGTGAGAGCAGTTTTGCTCTATGGTTGTGAAACCTGGCCTCTCCGAGTTGAGGATGTTAGACGACTCTCTGTGTTTGATCATCGTTGTCTCCGAAGGATTGCTGACATCCAGTAACAACACCATGTTAGAAACCCAGAGATTCAGCATTTTGTGTCCGGTCAACTAGTGTCACTATCTTGAGACATAGACTTCGGTGGCTTGCACATGTTCTACGAACGTCGTCCCAGGGAATTTCACGTCGTGCATTATTTGGGACTGGTTGGAAAAAGTGGAGAGGTGGTTGGTGTATGATATGATGTCGTGGTATTAAAGAAAGCTGTATACGACTTGCTTCTGTTGGTTCTTCACAACTCCCTGGTTGGCGTCTTAAAGATGGTGCAGCACAGTGGCTTGAGACGTTATCAGGCATGACTCAAAATAAAAGCCAGTAGGGATCCTGCTCTAACTTTGCTATTTTTACCTATTACTAAACGTCCTGAAACTTCAAATCCATTTGCTTTATTATCAAATCATAATAAAAATACTATTGATCGTTATATTTTAAACAAAGCACTGTTATGGGAGTCTTCACTTAGTGGAAAATCTTTCAACGTAATTAATATTACAAGGTTTTTCAATATTTCTCATCAGTTCCTTTCATACTGTATATCGCTTGTTATTTTCAGCTCGTTATGTACTATCGTTATTTGCAAAATAATTTAAATGGATGGAACTAAAACCATTAGGCGAAGAACGCATGACTATGAGTTCAACGAAAATAGTCAGTTCAAACGAAAAGTGAGTGTTTTTTACAGAAGAATACTTTTCCACTCTTTCTATTTACGTGCTTACTTATGTTTGTGGATATTTCTTGCTCCTTAAGTGTAGTAAACAAGTAAATGTTTCACCTGACGCGTAAATTAAGTGACTCATTCACTAGCTACACATTTGTCTATCCAATTCCCAGTCTTTTTCAGTACAGAGACTGGTAATACCACTCTACTTATCGAAGTACTGTAGGAAAAAGGCAAACGAGCCAAGATGTGTTATTTGTCTATGAGGTCATTAACTATTAAACTGAGTCATTTCATTAGATGTAAACTGTCTGCTTGTAGGTCCTCCCAATAACCGTGACCACTGTCTAGAGATATTAAGTGTTTTTGGTGAGAGCCAGTTACAATAGAACTTATGGATTCACTCTTTATCTTCCTCTAGATCTTGAGTTCAATCGTTTCTTTATATACAACTTTTTATCGGGATTCCAAAGACCATATTCTCAGTGCCTGATCCTTTATTTATCACTGTCTTGACTCCTTTATTATTCAGCTTGTTAATTTTGTAAGATCACAATAATGTGCTAAAACAACTTGAACTAACGCACACTTGTACCAGGCTCTAATTCGATCACTACCAACTAGCTGAACGTGGGATTCAAACTTTCGACCAAGTCGTCAGTAACCAAATGTTTTAATCACCAAGCCACTGCTTCAAATTAGGCTCAGAAACGCATCTTAAAAATCTTTGTGGTTAGTTGTTGTGATTTTCTACCGCCATTTACTAGAAACTAAAATTGAATTATGCTGTACTCATCTTCACTACTGGTTCAACATATGTAATTAAAGTAAAGCCGCTTATTCGTTTTCTTTTCTGATTTTTGCTTGACAGCTGCTCACACAATGTTGTACTTTACACATCCATCATTTACGGTTAAACGTTTTTGAGGCTTTTTTCATTTTTTAAAATTACCGATTGACTCAAGATGATATGGCTCAAAATTGTTTGTATCGGCGAAAATAAATTTACTTTACCTTTTCCCAAAGATTCCACAAATTTTATTGTTCAGTACTTTTGTCTCTTGTTTTTTAATCCTTCATTTTTCTTCTGCTAACTGCTGTTGATGTTGTTGCTTTCTTGTCTTTGTTCTTTTTTTCGTGTTCATGCTATATGAAATTGCGGATTAGTAAAAGGTTTCATCAGATTCTACGTTACTTTTGTTAGCTTTCCTATTCGTTCTACTTTTTTAACACCAAATTTTCACTCCAACTGATTTTTTTGTTACTATCATTTGTTATCAGTCAGTCATATCATTTGTCATATTAGTAGTTGATGCAGTTGTAAATTTTTTCTCAGGATAAATCTTTTTAAATACAAGATTTATCCTACCACTTAACGTATCAAAGTATTTTTGTAAGTAACTTAATGTAGTGTAACGACTAAGGCTCATATTTTACTTCGAATGATCGTCTTTTTTGACTTCTATTACATCTCAAATAAATGTAGATTTTTACTTACTTCAGTAGAGTATCAAGTGATTTCGGCAACGTTCAAACATACTGAGCTAAAACTACTCATCCAAATTCTCATCACAGCTTAGAGAGTAAATGGATATGGTGACAGTAAGAAATACTGTAGTATAGCAATTAGCTCTACCATCAGACTGCCTAAACAGAATTAAGTGAAGTAGGACTCGAACTTGTAGTCTAGTTGTGTAAAATCGAATTCATTGCCCAATTATAGGAAGCTGTAACTCAGACTCTTCACATGTCACCAATAAGTCATAGGCTTGGCACCCTTCTCATCTAACAAGTTTTATCGTCAAATCATGTATAATAATATAAATATTCCGGAAATAATTATGGAACTCATACCAGTTTACAGGCATTATCAGTTTGACATAGGTAGTAATATTACATGCAGAAGACATATAAGATATTATATTGTTTGAAAGGTTCTAGTTCGAAAATTATTTAGGTCGTACATTTTTTTCACATATATTACAGCAATGAAAGGCGTCAGCCGGAAACCACTGACTATTTTTAAGTAGACATCCTGTCTATATATGAAGGTATCTTTAAGGTCACTTCCAGTGCCATAACGGACTGAGTGTAGTTATCTACAGCTAGAGAAAATAAAATGAAAACAGAATGTATGGGTTAAAAAAGCGATAATTACTACAATATGTTGGCCAGCCAGTTAGGTCCGCCATAATACGCGTATCACGTTATTTTATGATATGCTGTTCCGGTTAGATATCATTCAAATTAGTTAAGGTTAAAACGGACGGTGTTAGTGTAAGGTGTCATCAGGTAGAGAAATTCAATTAGTTTCTATAATCTCACTTGTGGAATGGGATATACTTATAGGTGTAAGAACATTTAAAGCATTTCCAGAGGAGGAGTAAGCGTTGATGCAGCGAACAAGGGATGGGAGCGATTTGATTTATATGAATAATCCATTAAAGTCATATCCTCCTTATTCTTTGAGATATATCCTGATGTTTACTTGTTTGCTTATTATTCTCGTCATAACTTAGCGAAAACGAGAAACTGAAACAGATAATACAAACTCAGTGGAAATTTTAGGTGAATCTCATGTAATATTCACATCAAAAAATACTGGAAATAATCATTATTGGTGTCAAGATACTTCAAGACATAATACAAAATGTTTTGTAAGTTTTGTAATGATATATCGTTCTCAAAATACAGTTTCGCAGTTTATATTTATTCTTTTGAAACACTTATTTCCAACGAGATTACTGGTATTTTACATTCGTCCACCACTTAGCCACCGATTTGTCTTTTATTTTTTGATGGATAACGTTACATTAAGCCTGAAAAATATCTTTCATTTTTTAAAATAATTTGCTATTTGATCCTTTCACCAACAACACTACAGATAAAGATTAAAGTTATACCTCGGACTGGATACCATGCTATATCTTATTAGTGATTAACGCTTTCGATTTGTACATATATATCATATATTGGTAAATCCAAGAGCTAATCACGTAATTGTTATTTGCTAGCGATTACTGAGTCTATTGTCCGAAACGTGAACTGTTGTGTGCTTAAGCATTGCCTTATTTAGTGGTAATTTATTAAAATACTCATTAAATTAACCAGATGGTACTAGAATTCATTCAGTTGTGTTCATTTGCAACATAACTAGGAGAGAAATCATGTACGAAAACATGGTGTATGATGGAAAAATTGAAAGGAAAGCATAATGCTACAAAAGTAAAGAAAGGTGGATAGTAAAAGTAGTTTTATATTTAAATTCTCCGTCTCCGACTTTCTAATATGACGCGGATTCTATCCTAAGTCAACAGCTCTTCATGAATTCCTCAATAATTGATTTTATTTTTTAATTTAAATATTCTTCCTCATTACATCTATCCCGTCTAATATCAGTCGTTTAAGTGTACAGGTATCCTATTCAGTCGTAGCTCACAATCTCGTCTACTAGTTTATCTGAACTTCTCCCTGGTGTGTTCACGGCAAGTCACTATTAAGGAGTCTTATACAAGGACCAAACGACTGTCCGATGCCCCCTGGTTTTCAGTAGAACACTGACTAGGATTAATCTGTGAGAAATACGACTTGCAAATCAAATTAATCTCCATGACACCTCTTCAACTAATTATGGTTACGCTTTTGCATTTAATACTTGAATAGCTTCCCATGTTTTTGTCTAGTTGTGCTTAATATAAAGAAAAAAACGTACTAATCCACATTCGTTAATGTTTTTTTAAACGGTGGTCAAATCAAAGGTAAGCAACAAAAAATAAAATGTAACTGAAATTAAGTCATTTTTAAGTATTGATTTGTCCATTGTTGAATATCGTTTTCATTATTTCGTTTCTTAAACAAACCAAACAATGACTTAGTAGTTGTTGCCATTGAATTTCGACCATTACGGCCAGCAGGTCCTAATTCTTTCTCGACTTACTTCACTTTGGGTTGCTAGGTAGTCCTTGTAACCGTCTTCTCTCTCTATCTCTATCTCTTACACACAAAAGTTCGACTCAAAGCTAAACACATTAATTTGTATGAACCATGAATAATTCTACTATGTATACACACATTATCCATGTTTTCAAAACTCAGTAAGATTATTGCACATAATTGATAATGATTGAAACTGTTATTATTTGATTTCAAGTTATTTTTATCAGCACTAAAGTTCTCCTTTTTTGCATATAGTTTCCAAATGGAACTTATGGTGAATCAAGACTTGTTGAGAATATACAAAATAATAATAATAATAACAATAGCAGTGGAAGACGTTTTTTGTCTAGTCCACAAAATGGACACAGCAAAGAAAAGCTTCCTAATTGCACTATTGGACGTACAACAGCTGCTGAAATCCATTCTTCATTACCGTCACTGCCTCCTAGTTTGAGGGAATCGGTTAGTTTTCCTTTTGAATTATTTTTTTAATGCTTGGTTTTGTTTCTCTTTTTGTGACTACGACAATCTATGATTCTCTATATGAGCATACTCTTCCGATGTGTTTTTTACCATCAAATAATTTCAAATTGTCTCTCGTTTGAAATGATATGGAATCCAGTTCTTCATTTGTATTACGCATATCAAAATTCTTTGGTTTCTTAATGTACTTTGAAAGCAAATAAAATTAAATTGTGTTGGGTAAATACTACACAAACCAATGAGTTGTGTCAGCTTTTTAGTAACAAAGATTTGATATTATTGTTTATAAAGGTCTCTACCATTAGTTTTAAAATCTCATGAATTCAGGTGAATACTCTTTCAAATCTTTCCAACTCTAGAATATCAGGATAGGATTGTCAAGGCTATATCGCATGATTGCTCTCGAATAATTAATGGATGTTAATTAAATTACTAATATGGTTAACTGAACCAACTACAGCATAAAGCTATCTAGCTATCATCTGTTGACTTAGGAAATGGACTGGGTAATCATTAATTAAATGTTTATTAAATTAGAAAGTGAATGCGCGCAAATTTTAAGTTGTAATCAGTTTTATGTTCTAGGTTTCTAATTCCCTGTTCATTTTGTCTTTAACACTTACCAGTCAAACTCTACCTGCCTACAATATAATCTAATACATATACCAAATGCAGACTGGTGTACTACTATAATTCGATATTATCTAGCTGTACAATCGAAAATCTATGAGACAGTGTTTGAATCTACGATCCAGTGATAAAGGTGAATGAATCCATTTACTGCTAAGCTAACGTAACCATTTTTCTACAGGTCTTAAACAAATAGTCATTCGACACAACTAAGAATTCTCTCTCTATTTTAACACTTCTAATCATTTCACTTGGACATTCTTAAATTATTACATAGTTAACAATAACACCAACCTTATTCATCAAGAGTTCTTCTTTCTTTATATCTCATATTTTGACACCAATATATGCGAAACTCAACAATTTTTTTATAAATTTATTTAGTTATTTACTGTTTAAGTTTTGTTACTTTTCAATCATGGTCACCACCTTACCTTTTATATATATATTGTCTGTTACATGATAACATATATTTATATGTAAGCCACACAAATCACCATAGAATTAGACATTATGCTGGTTGACATTGATTTGTAGTTGTTCTTTTTAGTTACTATCGGCACTGGTCATGAATTAACGCTTTATGACTAATACTATTACTACTATCATTATTATCTTTGGTAGTATTAATGACGTTACTGATAATATTGTTTCTATTCACCAAGCAAAAGGCTCTTATTTCTCTCATTTTCTCACAGCATGCCGCATCAATCGATTATATATATAACTATTTATTTATGTATCCTCTCTATAAAATTAATTATAATCTATGTCAGAGTTAAAACAGAGTAAAGGGTGTAGTCATCTACAACTATTGCCAATGGATATATTCACATTTGTATTTGTTAATCGTTCTCATTGATTCTTCAAGCAAACAAACATTGTCTATTTCCGCCTTCCTTCTTTCGGACAGATAAATTTATTATTTATACTGATCAATGCTGAATTACTTAAATTCCCTCCATTTTTTTCTGTACTGAACATAATCACAGAGTTAATTAAATGGTCAAATATTAATAATAACCATCATTAAGATTTAATTATTTATATCTAGTCTATTACCTGATGTGTTGGTGGGGTTAAGAGGAGATTAAATGTAAATAGGGATACAATAATAATTATCCTATTGCTTTTCAAAGAATAAATATTCAGCTAATCGACTAACTTTTAATTTAAATACGCAAACGAATTTTTATTTCATGATTCTACTAATTTCTCCCATAGCATAATAACCTGATATGATGTCTTAGAGGTTCTGTTGTGAGCCTGAATTACTTAGACAGTATAGTTCTAGTGAGTGGAACTGGTAGTAAAATTCACATTCTTCTCTGAACACATTGAATAATAATATGAAATTGTTTGGAATGTGTTTCACACTTTCTAAATCCTGTGTTTATTTATACCAAACTTTTTTCATCTTATGTGAGTATATAAAATAATATAGTTTAATGTATTAACCAATACACTCATTTAGAAAGACCTATTCACTTAGATGGGTTAGTGACTGACGAAATCTCGGCACATATACACAGAATCTGTCCAGTTTTCTTGTTATAAGTGACTCATGCTGCATATCTTTTGACAAATAAATAGCCTAGTTTTTCGTCCTATAATATTCAGCGCTTGTAAAACATGGTAACTGGAGATAAATGACACTTACTTGTTTTAGATATCTGTAAATCATTGTTCTTTGTATAGTGCAACGGTTAAGTGAACAATTTTGCACCTTTCTTCTTCTTGGTTTGTCTATTGAAGTGTAATAACTTGTGCATTATTACGAAGTTTTACACTAATAATTTTTATGTGTCTCGATATTCCTTGAAAAATCGTCATTTGATGTATTTTGTATTATATATTTGTTGTTAGCAGGTTCTCTGCTAAGTATGAGATTAATAATTGGTAATTCCATCGGTTCTTTTTTTCAACTGACCTTATTTCAACTAGTTAAGTTTTTTAATGGATGCAGGTGCATTTTTGTAAAAATACATTCGTCGATCAATTTAGTTGATATACGTACACAATCTTAAGGACTTGGTAACTTCTTATCCTTCGAACGATACTTTTCACACTTGATCATACACAAAACTGCTTATTTTGAAAAAAGATGACTTCTCAGTTCTGCTACTAAGAAAATACTAGTTCTTAAATGCTACAATCTATGGCTAACAAGAATCAAAAATTCATTCACAAATCTTAGTACATTAATGTTAATTTAATAAACTCAGTTCTCTTTTATAAATGGAACATATTTTACAAGTTTTCAACTTAGTTTACACTGTACTACGGGATTGTTGTGTAACACTAAGTTGTACGATTAATAGATAAAACTTATAATGTAATTTCCTTGGGGAATATGTCACATCTATTACTTCATATTCCTCATGAAAAAGTTGTAGTTAGAAAACTTTCTTTGCTTATTTAAGTTTTCCATACATCAACTTATGGAGGACGATTTCATGTTTACGAAATCGATATATTCTACAGTGTTTATGCTGTACTCTAAAATGATGTCATCACTGATTATGCATTTTGCTTACACATTATGCTTCATATTATAACAATCTTTATGATGGATTTTCAGTCTAAATAATTTATGAATTACGTCTTTTTGAATAACATGTTTTTATTTCTTGTCGAAATTCTATCTCTATTTTGTATCAATTTCATAATTTCTTTAAAATGGTCTGCATTCTGTAATTGTTTTCAGAATATTATTATTATTATCTGACTGCTTAGTATCACTAAATTTCCTATCGTCAAATCTGTCCACACTTATTAGACCATGGATTACTGACGAAATTGTTCTAAAATATCAAATATTGATGTATTTTATACATAATAAGCAGAGTTTTTTCGATGATATTGTTTTCTTTGAAATAGATGGTTTCATTGTTGTTCTGGATAATAATTATACTGCCACAATTTTCAGTTACTTCATAAATATTATATCAGTTCATTCGTAAAGGCTTATTCTATGGTCGGTTGTCTTCGTAGTCTTTTTTTGTCCTCATTTACTCTTAAGTTCTTGTTGACTGTATTATTCGTTCGATCTATGACCTCGTTGTTGATTGATCATCATAAAGGTGGTATCGTTTAAAATTATCTGATGGCATTGTATTCACCTAATTTAAATTCATTTGTTAATGCATTAAATACAAGTTAGTTCATTGAATTGCATCCAGTATCTGTTTATCAATTTAATAGTCGAATTCATGAGTTAGTTGAAGCTAGACCACCATGGAAAACCTGGAAGCGCCGGACAGTCGTTTCATCCTAGTATGGGACTCCAGGCAGTGCGCATCCACGATCCCGCCCCGCGAGATTCGAAACCAGGACCTATCGGTCTCTCGCGCGAACGCTTAACCTCTAGACCACTGAGCTGCCATACAGTGGTGCTAATGTCTCTCTTTAACCAAACCACGAAATTGCGCCACCGTTCACCATTGTCCTCGGTGAGTTACCATCTCACGACAGAACCGGTTGAACTGCACTGGTTACGGTTTCTTACTATAACTTCAGGAAATACCTCTTGGAAACAGTCACTAGTGGGGATATGATGATTATAACCTCGCGGGGCGGGATCATAGATGCTCACTGCTGAGGAGTCCCACACTAGGACGAAACGTCCATACAGTGCTTCCAGATTTTCCATGGTGATCTGGCTTCAATTGACTCATGAGTTCAACTATTAAATTACTATAATATCCACAAAACCCCTCTCTGAGTACGTTTATCAATTTATTTTCTGTAAAACGTGACCATTAAGGGTAGAAGATACTGGTAAGTTACTAGTAGTTGATCACAGATGTCCTAGAAATATTGCTCGCATCTGCTGGGATCAACGGGTAAGTCATAGTGAGGTTAGATGCAGGGTATTAGGGAATGATGGTAAATCAGTTGATGAGGTTGTAAATCTTCATCGACTAAAATGGTTGGGCCACGTATTATGCATGCCCAACCATCGATTACCACGACGCGCAATGCTGACTAATATTGGAGATGGATGGAAGAAAGTTAGAGACGGCCAAACCAAAACTTAGCATCAGTCCATAAAGTCACTAACTTCTAGTCTGGGCCATGTTGATAGATACAGACTACTTGGTTGGGATCCGTGTGACTATGGTTGGAGACTAGGTGACATGGCCCAGAATCAATCACAATGGCGTAGGTGCATACACTCTCTTTCTTCCCTTAAACTGTGAGATTGAGCTTACTTTATACCTTTCGTTCTACAAACCAAATCTTTCTTCCTGTACTATATCCTCGTACACAATCTTTCTTTTATACATTACTGCCATTGAAGTGAATGATTCTATGAATTTGTTGTTCATCTTGTTGTGCTAATGAGGTGTGGCAGCTTGGACCGATGCATATATGTGCCTGGTCTTATGTTGTAGATGACTGACCGACTGTAGAAGTTAATAATACATCGATTGTGAAGTGCGTTAACTTGCTAAACACTTCTGAACACCTATCCAACTCTATTGGGTAATATATATATATATATATATAGCTTGGTAACTAGATTATCTTATCAAGTCGAGTGATTTAACCCTACTAAAAGATCGTCTAGAAATCGCGCAATAAGTTTAACTGAACAACCCAAAAGTAAAAGAATATGATATTTTAGCACAAACGTGGTTTTTTTTAACAGCCCTTATCAATATTACGAAATCCTCGTCTAAAAAAAGAAATCTAATTCTTTGCTGTGACATTAAGAAATGATATTAAAATTTTATTATTAGTGTTATTATATCACTACATTATTTTTATTTACCAGTGTACAGAGTTGTGGAAAAGAGGGGACTTTCTCACTGTACATCAGATTTTTTGTGTCTTTCTGTTAGTCGGAAAATCAAAATATTTCGTTTTCATCAACGATTCTGTTAGTGATACTTGATCATTTTCACTATTTTGTTAACCGAAACAGGAAACGAATTGATTTTGATGATACTTATGTTTTGGTGGTCATATTTCACATAATTAGTGTTTTAACTTGTGATATCATAAACAGTTATACTATATAAGGAGTCATAGTCAACATCATTCCATGATGTTGGTTAAACTACCATTAAAAGCTAGGAAACACTGGACATGTGCTTGCTCCCAACATGAAACTCCTCAATTTTATGAGGTTCCAACTCCACCAGGTGTTGAACTTAAGACTTTCAATTTTTGCTGTGAGAACTTAATCTTTAGACCAATGAGTCAGCATTCGGTCGTTTAGATGTTTACCTCCAATCAATTCGCGATATTGTGCAGTCATCTTCTATTGCCTGTAGTGGACAACTGCCTGACACGACATGATCGTACTTCATTGGTCACGGATTGTCATTCGAACTTATAGAATCACCTCTCGAAATAAGTCACTCATGAGCATATGATCATTAGTATTATATTAGGTGTTTTTAGAGATCAGTTCGTAAAGTTAAGTATTAAAAAAACAGACGATTTTGTGTGTCTGTTTTTTTTCATATCAGCACATTATGCAGGAGTCATGAATTTTCAATATCAAATAGTAGGTGCAAATGATTAATATTATTTCAATTCTGTAATACTAGTGAATTGAGTGCATTCAACTAAGTACTTTCATTATATTTGTTTGTTTTTACATTGAGTTAATGAATAATTCTATGTGCTTGATATTTCAATCTGATCCATTATAACTAAGTAAATACTTTTTGTCTAGTGTTATTTTTGGCAACTTATCGTAATGTATTCGTTACGTGTCAAAGGGTGGATGTTGCTTTAAAGCGCGTCACGAAATTCTCTCATACCGTCAGCATTGTACTTATACACAACATCTAATGAAAGTATCATATTTACTGCTCTCTATTATGCTCCGGAAAGATGCCTATATCTGTAGTAAATCCCTACTATTTTATATTCACTATAAAAGGATTGTAAAAATGACTCTATATGTAAATATATAAGATATTTACAATGACACTGCTGATTATTTAAGTTGAGATGCAATTCTTTACAGTAAATAAAAAAATAAAAATATAGTCATTTGTTTTAGTTTAAACACCGTCAGAGTTTTCTGTTAAGCTGTCATCAGCAGCAGTAATGTGGTGTATGCTACTCACGTTTGCAGATATATGTAGTATGTAACACCAGTCGGAAGTGGATTGTCTGAGAGCAGAAGGTTGAGAAGATTGAAATGATGTGAAGAGAGAAGGAAACTGAAAGCAATCAAGATAACAACAGGAATCAAGAAACATTAATGCTGGTAAGAGACAATTCAAAGATGTTCAAATTATGTAATTGATGTTTGATTTGCACACTGTACTAAACCACTGCGTGATCGTGCATTAAACAGTAAATTGGTTTTCCCCACTTGACTTCTTCGTTCACTACAGTAGTAGTATAAAAGTTGGATTAATAAATTCATAGGCAAAACACTATTCTAGATCAAATGATTGCATGTTTTAGAATTCTGTTCAATAAAAACAAAACATCCTATTTTGTTGATTTGCCATGTTTTTTTTATCAAGCATCAAGATTATTGAGTTGTATAAATTAAATAAACTTGAAAGTCATGTGAATATTCCTTCTCTTTATTATTATGATTATTGTTTTTTGTCAGGAACGCATGTTGCATGTTCAACGTTGGATAAATAGTATCCCACCTGATTTACCATCCTGGATACAAGTATCACATAATAAAATAATCCCGGTTACTAATCCACATGAATCTTATGCTGAAGTAGAAGATTCAATCATATCTGAAATTCCAGGTAAGTTTGATTGAACGCCTTAAAGTAGGTGGTGACTGGTCATACTTAATTATTGTTTCATTGCAAATTGATCTCAGTAGATTATTTATCATTAGAGTTATAACTTATAAAAATCTTTATACATAGAAGTGAATGAATGATACACATGTCAAACTAGATCAACTCAGTGAATATCGAAAAAATGAGAAAATGGAATGGGTCTGAAGAATATGATGTACTTGCATTATACGTTTCGAACAATCTGGTCACATATGTACTAGTCAAGGTATTTTATATTAAAATTGATAAAGATCAATTAAATGGAGGTTTAAATGAACATAAAGTAACAATTGTAGATAAAAGAGAGAGGAAATTAATATAATATGGAAAGAATAGAAACAATAGAACCATATGGTTTGCCTAAAATACACAAACCTAGCCTACCTGTCCGACCAATTCTTGGTATGTCCGGATCCCCTTACCACTTTATAGTAAAGTGACTGGCTGATCTGGAACCCACAGGAAAACGTATTTGCATAGATTCCTTTCATGATATTTTTGAATTCATTGATTACATAAAAGAATTGAATGTACATGACAAACTTATCCTTTTACTTGGCGTCGAATCACCATTCACTAATGTTCCACTCACAAAGACCATCAGTTTCATCTGCGAATACATAAGTGATAATGAGTTTAATATCGAACTACCATTACGATGCACTTGTAATGTACAATTTACACTGAACGATATATTTCATAGGCAAAAGGATGGGATAACAATGGGCAGTCTGGAAAACAGTCGACCTAAAACGGCCATTGACAAATTCCACTTGTATAAAAGGTATGTGACTGATGTTTTTATCATTCGTGACAATAAAGATGATTTGAATCGTTTTCTGCAGACGTTTAACAACTGCCACTTGGCAATAAATTTCACACAATAAGTTGAAAACAAAGCATTCACTTTCTTGATGTCAAAATAACAACGAAACACGACGTAACTGTAAAAAGATCCATCTACAAGAAATGTTTGTTGAATGGCCAGCTGTCAGTTTTTCACAGCTGGGTCCTTATTAGTCGGAAAAGAAACTTAAGTATATCCCTCGCCACACGAATATGAAGAATTTGTAGTCCCGACGTCATGAATAACGGACCGAGCCTTCTTAAGAAAATACTTATCATAAACGTGTATCTATCGATATTTTTTTTTTGATTGAGATCATGAATCAATTGATGTTAGACCACCGTTGGAAACCTGGAAGCACTCGGCGGCCGTTTTGTCCTAGTATGGGACTCCTCAGCAGTGCACATCCACGATCCCGCTCCCCGCGAGATTCGAACCCGGGACTTATCGGTCTCGCGCCAGGCGCTTAACCAACTAGACCACTGAGCTGGCATCCAATGGTGTTAGTGTCTAATATCAACCAATCCACGAAATTGCGCGACCAACTTACATTGTACTGAGGTAGATACCTGTCACTACCCGACACGGATTTGTTGATAAGAATATACAACTCAAACCGCCTAAAGCATAAATAACCTCCATAGAAAATAAAACGTTTCCTATGAACTATTAGGACGGCTCCCGAGAACTACGACGGAGCCTCCAGAGGTTCTAAATGAACGAAGAGTCTCCATCCAACCAGAATGTGGTGGAGCTTTCTAGAATATCAATGTGGCATAACATGCCTCTTTGCGGATTGGCTGTATTATGATGTTGAGATAACAAACTCTAATACCTATAAATACCGATGATTGTGACTGTTGGGGTTATATAAATTCGAGTGCCGTAGTTGTATACTGTACTCTGCGTTAATCGGGTAGCGAACTCAACATGAACATTGCTTTCAAAGGTGATATATCTGCGGATGTCCTCATGGGTAGAATTTCCGAATCTTTTAATCTAACGTTCTTCTCAATAACTTCTCGAATAGTGTTCTCTAGTGGACAAATGTTCATCAATAATCTTAAGGATAAATTATCTCATTTGACCAAAACTATGCGCGTTTATTAATTTATCTGTTCATGTGGAGCCATGCATATAGGTCGTTCAATGCATATTTTATCCCGAAGAATTCGAAAACATTATCCAACTTTGCTGAAAACAGATCAAAAGGGCTCAATAAGAAGCTCAACAATCGAAAACCGTTTGAACACAGGTCATTAAATCAAAACAGATTCTGTGCTCAAGATCGTCTAAAAGGTTAGAAAAGGGCTTCCAAAGGCAGTTATATCCCATCTTCCTAACATCCCCAAAGCACTGGTTATAAATCTGCAGAAAACCAAAATTATGTGTCCAAGAAAAACTTATACAACTTCTACCGTGGTTTTACTTTCGTAATCTTTTCTTTCTTCTTCATACTTTTCTTCTTTAACAGCTATCTGTTTCCCTTTTGTCTTCTCTATAGACCTTTTGCCCTCCAATTGATTTTTGTCCGTTTTGCTGCTCCTCCGGATTTTAGTTCATTTCAGTCATAACAATTTTCATACTGAGTCGTCCTTCCAATTATAATCCCTTATCTAATTTCATAATGAATACTCAAGCTCTTAACAAAATTATCATTAGTTTCCTTGATAAGAAGAATGTTTTTATACTTTTGCTTATTCTCCTTCACTGTTACCATGTTTAGCAGAATTTTATCATCACTATTATCGTAACTATTATCATTTTGAAAAATAAGCATATATTTGCGATTGTACAGCTTTAAAAATGAATTTACAGAAAAATAACTCTTCGTTGAAACAATCTTTCTTATTTATTGAATAAGAATTCATCTCATTACCCTAGATAATAAAATGTCTTAGAAATTACCAGGGTGACTCCGAGGTTACGCCGATTTGTTTCTGTACACATAAAGGGGGTTTGAATTTATGAATAACTAAGGCTTTTATAAAACTAAGTATTCGTCCTTGACAATTTCTATACAATGTTTTCAAAACTGTATTTATGTCAGTTCTATGTTCCGTTTCAACTATGTGCTCTACTATTGATGAACATGGTTTTCTACTTGTCACTTTTATTAAAGGATTTGGTTCTGAAGCCGTCTAGACGCATCCAACATAACGTTTGATTGTATTATTCAATTACTCCTCTCTATGTGTGTGTGTTCACACAAACATGTGAATTAGTAAATGCGGTGGGATTTGATATAATGTCTAAGTCAATTTGAAATCATGGGCTTAGTCCTTTCAATTACAACCAGTTGAGCAGCGTAATATGTTTTCTCGATTGCTGCTTTTAGTCTATTCTATCCAATTCTCCGTTAAACGATAATGATATATAAAAACATTTTTCCTCAGCAGGTCTATAAAGAGGTTTTAGTGTTGACTGACTTTTTTTTACCTATTTATAAACTTTAATGGATAACCGTTTGATATTGACGTTTTAGCCAGCAGTTTCGTATCTTCTTCCAACTTCTCTGTAGTGGATATTCTTCGAGTCCTATTGAGGGAGCACTTTACCAAGACTCCCTTGTGTTGCAATGGACAGAAACTGTAGAGATTTAGATATTGGTCTTTTTAGGTTGGCTTCCTATAAACTAACCACTTTGTAGTTCCATCTTCTCTTCGACTCAAAAGTATGTCTAAAAAGGGCGATCGGTTATTATTTTCTTCCTCATGTGTAAGTACGATATCATTCTGTACGCTGCACTCAACGAATTGGTCAATAAGCTGGTAGTCATTTGTCGATGATAGTGAATGAAAGGATCTTGCTGTAATAAAAAAATCATCGGAAGTCGAAAATACGAAGATACTGGTTTACTGATATTCATGTTCTTGTTTTAATTTCCTTTAGGATAGTACACGCCCATTGTTGCACCAGAGTCGAACTAAACAAGATGAATTAGTAGGCCAAGGTTTTTATATTTCCCGATGAATTTATGACTGATTGTATTGTGTGACGAAAATGGCCTTCATACAGAGTAATAGATATTGGTTGGACGTCAACAGAACATGAGCTAATTATTTTGTTAGCAGAATACAGTCCTGACTATTTCATGCTCTCCGATCAGGTTCAACTAGGAACACATTGACTGGTCTATTTCCAGCTAATTAGGACTAGAATAGAGAAGATCCTAAGAGAAGACCGTTTTGTTAATTCTATATAAATTTTAGTATTTTCACTAAGATATCTTTGTTGTTTGCGTCTATTTGAATTAATATTATCATTTTTTGATTTGAAACTGGTCGATTGAAATGTAACATTTAAGGCATAAACAACACACTTCATTTGATTTATTATTTTCTCGAATAAATTATCCTCCATCTTAAAGTTTCTACACTTAATTCAGTCGATAATTCCATCATGCATGATAAATGATTAAACAATTTATTATCAACTGTCTGAAATCTCTTCACGATATATATCTTCACAGGTTACATTTTACTGATGATGAGTTAGATACAACTTACTTTTTTCTAATATTCTCATTGTTTAGTTCATAAATATGTAGATAAATAGAGATAACTTAGAACATCGTGTTTTGTCGTTTCTATATACAGCACACCATTAAAATATTGAAGGAATTTTAATATAAGGAATAAAAAGAATTACAATACCAGCAGTGTGCTAATGAACTACGAATAAACGATCATGTTCTAACTGAAAATAACAAAAAAATGAAAAGCACAAAATTATAATGATAAAATGTTAATAGTGTAATACAATTTCATCTATTACACTTTAATCATTGACTGTCGTTTCTCTTTCTTCTAAACTATACATTTTAAACTCTGATAACTATCACTACATGTTAAGTTCTATTCCTTATGATTGAATTTCATAATGTTTGCTAATTTTAAATAATTCAAAACTAACTATCTGATTTATATTTCTAACAAGAAGGGTAATGAAAAAAATTCCCCAACAGTAGCTTAATAGTTTAGGAACTCTATTTGACTTCCAATCACTAAATCACATGTTAGAACCCCGCTAAATCCAGGAGGCCGAGTAGAATCACTGCTTCTCTCCTTGTGACTAAATGAATATGTACATGGTAAATGTATTGCAATAATGTATCAATTTCAACTCGAGATTTTCATAGTTTGTAAAATTTCGATCTAACAGAGCAATTAATATTCAACTTGAGTTATAGATTATCTCTATATTATGTAATGCCAGATGGTTTATTGGTTTGTTACATGCTTTTTCACATTAGTAAACTATTTGCGATCGGTGGCCCAGTGGTTTAGACCTCCGTTTCTCAGCCACTAAATCATAGATTCAACTCCCTCTCAACCTACTGTAGTTCAAAGAGCCAGGTATTATAACTAACTCGGACATAAAATGCGACTCAAAACCAAACGAATTTGTAAGCCTGGCAAATTGATTAAAAAAATCACTTTTACGAGAGATTCAAAGAATATGATGAAAAAGAGAGCTAACTTCTGTTCTCTCTTCCAAAGGTATCAAATGTTTAGTCAGAAAACGCTGGATCACAATTATAACATTTTGTTTGGTATTTATTCTCGTTTACTAATCATATGCAAGACGAAACTCTCTCTATAACTTTATTTTTTATATGTATACGTGTTTATTTGTTTTTTATTGTTTTCAAGATACATCAGATCTCGCTTCTAATCATGATATTTTAGACTGTAATCCTGGTTGTAATTTGAATTCTGTCAATCAAACTATGGATTATTATTCTAAACAACCAAATAATCATTCATCTAATCCTTCTACACAAAAATCATTATCTAAAATTCCTGGCGTTTCAGTTGCTCCTCCTTTACAACCACCTCCGTTTCCACCGTTACCACCACCGCCTATGCCACCTCCGACACATTCACAATCATCTCTTCCACTTCAATTGCATTCATCTGTTCAACATGGGCATAGCAGTAATAATAATAATAATAATAATAATAATAATAATAATAATAACACTTCTTTAGGTATAATTCCTTCAAAATTTTCTACTATACCAAGTGGTAGTACAGTTAACTCTCATCAAAATCTACTTACTCCTATACAGTCAAATCAGGATATGAACCTATCGAATCATCCTCATCAACATCCGCATCAATATTGTATGAATAATGATCATAATCAATTGAATTATTCATCTAGAGATACATTACTAAGTCATCATATTGATGGTGAACCAAATCATACTAATAATAGTATTCACAATAGTCAAAGACATCCTATTGGCGATTCCATGAATTCAGGTGGACGATTATTCAATGATATGGAAATTCAAATGATAGTTAAGGTAAGTGGACTTGTCGTTGTTATTTTTCTCTCTCACTGTTTTCAAATGGTCTCTGTTTTTCCTTTATTTATCCTGTGGCTCATATCAATGTTCTTTTCTTTCTTTCATATAATCACATACGGAACGGTCGTTCTAACTATTATCCACAGTGTATTTGTTTGCTTTAATCTCTCAAATGTTCCAGTTATACAATAATTACTTACTTAGTTGTGGTATCGCACTGTAGAATTTATTTTAATATGGACACATTCTCTATTATCTATTTTTCGGTCAACAGGTATAAGTTGTTATCAAGCAAACTCATGATAAACCTGTGTTGTCATGATTGGTGATGATGGTACAAAACGAAAACTTGAAAACTAAAAAAAGCTTAGTAATCACTAGTAAAAAAACTTAATAAATCTTCGTGTTTAGAAAATCAATTGTATGTATGTGAGAAAAACAATGACTTCGGTAATGGTGAAACTAACCAATCCGTTATGAATATCGTGGATTGATTGAAGTTAGATATTAAGACCATTGGATTTCAGCTCAGTGGTCTAGAAGTTAGGTATTTGCGCGTGAGACCAAAGACCCCAGGTTCAGTTTTTGTACTCAAAGTTGTGGATGGGCACCTCTGAGGGGTCCCATACTAGGACGATAGTTGTCTAACATTGATCAGTTCATCATTTCAATGAAACTCAACAATCTCCACAACCTTATACTGACTATTATGATTGGTCTATGAAATGAGCTAAAGGACATGTTATAAACTGAGTGGTTATGAATGCTGGATATCTATTGATCTGGCCCAAACGCTGGATTGCTTGCTTTTAAATGTAGTTAATAATCGAATCATGAGATCGGAATAGAATGGATACTTTATTGGAAGTGGATCAACAGCTCAGCAGTTGTTAGAGGATTTAACTTTTAGCCATTAATTCACAGGTTTGAACCACAATTTATCCACTCTTATATGGGCAACCGGACAGTCTTATTAGCACTCGCATTTAGTGTGTGAATTGACTCCAATTTTTCTTGTTGCCAGCGTATGGGAATAAAATTATCTCGATGGCTGTTAAAAATATATGAGGGTAATTATCAATTGTTAGCTGTCAAAAACTATTGGAAAATTCTGTTTCTTCATGAGGAGCTTAAAAAGGAAATGGATTTGAAATGGTCTTGGCTATCGCGTAGCTTGACCAGAATGCTTAGAGGACAACTGCTTAAAGCTGAGTACATGGGATTTTTGTAAGTGATTTTAGATATTCTAGATCCGTATTATAAGGCCTTATCACTGGCAAAAAAAATCTTTGAGGCAAGGCAAGATATAGCGTTTCTTGGTCTGACGTTTTCTAACCCCCTACTGTTGTAAAAAAACAGCATCTCTACAAATCTTGGTTATCTGAGGGCAATAATCTCTTAAATTTAACCTTGACAGTTATTATATACACATTTAGAGTGTGAACTATGTCTGTAATAGAACTTGTATTAGAAACTACTGATACCATTAGTAATCCAAACAATTATGCAGTCAGTTATATGTGCATACAAACATGTATATGAATGTGTTATAGTCACTTTTTAAGTATATAATACTGACATAATTTCTGATACACACAAGCTTCTCTTATAAGTTCATCACAGTGTTTATTTAATGTTTCATTTGAGTTTTTAATTCATTCTACTTTATGTTATGTCTTCTTAAGTACTTTATTGATCATAAGTGAATCTGTCTTACTTATGTGCTTATCGCTTAGTATATTCCCTATTTAATTGCTAAACATCTTTAGGGCAAAATTATTCGCTTAATTTACTTATCTATATCATCATCTAGAGGTCACTAATTTGAATGTTGCTTTAACTCAGATTAAATTTAACTTTTATTAGTAGTATCAGTTAGACGAACATTGATAAAAAGTGTAGCAAACTGGGAAAATGCATTTTATTTATTTATTACAAAGACTAATTAATTGACTGGAATATCTAGCATCCTTAACACCATGAACACAAATAATCTGGTCAACACTGTAATAACTTGATTTTTTCATTCGTTACTAGGCTCTTTAAATCAATTCTTATGCTGTTTTTTTTTATAAAATAAAAAAACAAACAAAAACAAACTAAATACTTAATCGATTAAAACACAACTGTTTTGTAAAGCTGCCGATCAATTTACTTATTTATTCACACTCTACTTCTAATCAGTCATAATTCTATTCGTGTTCCAATTGCACTTTTTTTTAATATTATACAGTTTGTTCTTATGTAATTTGTTTTACAAAGCCCGCATTTGCTTATCGACTTGAATTTATATCCTATAATTTATACTTGTAATAAATGATGAGTGTAACAAATTACTAGATTTTTTAAAATATGTCCAGATGATATTGTGTATTAAGGCAATGAATAGTTTAGAGAACAAAGCACTGCCAAAATACTTCGATTGAACTGCATTATCTTCTTCATCCTCCTAAAAATTAGTAAGTATTATGCAACAAAAAAACAACAATAACTACATATGTGATCATTTAAGTTATTACACTCTTAACATCTTTGATTTTCGGTTGACTTAAACCCAAAATATAGAGACGAGTAGTTATTCGATGACTATTCTTTATGAAGCATATCTTTAAATCCGATTGAATAAACGTTAAACAATACAACTCGATAACAATCTCCACAAAATTATATGTTGATAATGGTCATTTGCTCACTAGTGACTAAATTTAAGGTGTAATTGGTGAAGTTGTAGTTAGAATCCGTAATTAGTGGAGTCCAACCATGTCGGTCAGTTATCCACAGCAGATAATGGAAAGTGTCCTTACACACCATTGGATCGCGACCCAGTGATCTAGAGGTTAAATGTTCTTACGAGAGACCGAAGGTCCTGGGTTCGGTCCCCTGTTGTGAGGCTGTAGATTGGTACTACTGAAGAGTTTGACACTGATATATATATATATATATATATATATATATATATCATCACTCTACTGACTAGTATTGCAGTTTTTCGTAGGCTAAGTAATTTAATCAACATTTTCATTTGAATTTAGATTAGTCATTTCAAAAAGAGAAAAGAAAGAACACAAACACATCATCGTTATTGAACCTGACTGACCGATCAACATGTCGTTGTAGTAACAACAACAAAAAGAGAATACCCAATTCATCATAACACTTCTACTACCTATCTTATGGTCTAAAGTAACTTTTTAAATCTTCTATTCCATATGGTTATTTCTTAACCTTTTTTATTCGGGTCTAAATTGTTTTTCTTTAAAAAAAAAACACAACAGTAATTCGTCAAAGCTGAAATAATCTATTAAAAACCAATCCCTTGTATATTTTCGTCTCTGTCTTTTTCTCGAAATAATAACGTATCGTATTGATCAGATCGATTATTTTCTTTTTCAAGTTTATTGGTCTGATAAATAATTTTGACTTTCTTCCCTTTTCTTCCATCTGATTATTATTATAATCATCATTACCATTTCATTAGATTCTGTTGCTTGAAAATCTTAATTATATTCATCTACTCTAATTTTTCATATCAATTTTCATCGTAATCAATTTTTCCAATAGAGAAAGAGAGTAAAATAGACATTGAATATGATGACTTTTATTTTACCAGTTGTTTAAAGTATGTCATTGACAATTCTGTGTTAGTGGATAATATCACTAACCTTGACTCATATAGTATGATCCAAATCTAACTACATGATTTTGTGCTTTGTAAACAAGTTGTATCATTACTATTTTGACAGGGTGATTTAAAAATGTTGACTTATTTAATAGGAACTCCAATAAATCAAGAGATAATATTGCATTTGACTTCAGTAGTAGGGTACATTCGGTTCTTAGACACACTGTTAGCATGAGGATTAGTAACACTATCCGGCAGCCGCGAACTGATGTGGGTGTTGCAGGGTTCGAACCGAAGACTGAGTAACTAGAAGATGAAAACTTTCACCATCAAGGTACCTCTCTCTATTGATGTTTAGACTCTAGTGATTAGGATACTTCGTTATAATCCCGTATGCATGTATTTACACAAATAACTGGTTTGCGAAAATTCACTTGACTGACATGACGGTATTTTAAATACTAACTAATATTTCTTTATTCCTTAGCATACTATTGTTTAACGTTAATCTCAGCTTTCAATTTTAAAAACGGATAATATTTCATACTAAAGTTCCATCAAAATATCCCTAAATGATTCTTTTTTGATGTTTAGACACTCATTTATCACTTTTCAGTCAACTTTATATTCATACTTCTTTGGTATTCTTACTTGTCTTAATTTTAATAGGTTGCTATCACCTCGCATATAAATGTTTAATTTCGATTTGTGGCCAGTTTAATCAACCTAACATCAGTGTTTTGTCAGAATAATTCATATTCACAAATCACTTTAATGTAGTCGTTTTTTCAATATGTTTTAAGCATAAGTTGTTGGTTAGTATACGTTGTTGAACATTTTGTGACATTCCCGTTCATATGTTGGTTGCATGAAGTGGCTTTTTCAGTCAGTCCACAATTTATATCCTTTTTTTATGTAACCATCTAAAATTCGTGCTAGAGTGCTTTACATCGATTTGTAGTTGACAAAAAAAAAATAAAACAGTATAATTAAATACTCGTAAATAAAGTAGAATGTGTCATAAATCTGCTATATGTTAGTTCTAGTTGGTTAACTTCATATTCACATCGTTAAACAACAAAATTAGAATTTAAAACGGTCGAAGTAATAGTGTCTGATGATAGTTGTTAATTAAAAATTGACCATAAGCTCTAACACAACCAGTAGTTTTCAAGTAAAGAGTTTATACATGGTTGATTTACTTTTTTGAGACATCTTTCAATAATAGACACTACCACAGAACTTCACGATCGACAGAGTCGTGTGCTGCCTTAAGGTCAAAGAACACAACCATAATCGGACGCCAAAACGTTTGTCTATGATCTAGAGTCTGCCTAATAGTGAGTATTTGGTCTATACATCCACTTCCAGGTTTGAAACCAGCCTGGTTTTCCTGAGTTTGCTCTTCACGAGCACTAATTAAACATTGGATAATTTTTATGGCCAATATTTTAGATACTATATTAATTAAACTAATTCCTCTGTAGATATCACAAGCGGATTTTTGTCCATTCTTATAGACTGGAATAATTAGTATTTGTGACTAATCAGACGAGTTCATGTCCGATTCCCAGACTCTAGTTGATATCTCAGTTCATCCAATAGCTTAAAATGAACCACCATCCTTAAAAATTTAAGTAGTTAATCCATCAATACCAGCTGCTTTTCCTCGTTTTAGATTAGCTTTGAGATTTCCTAAATCTTTAAGAGCTGGGATCTTATGTCGACATCGCATTTAGGTTGCATGGTAAAAGTAGGCAACTTGTTGGTAACTAGAAAGTTGTTGCCATGGATCCAACTCAGTTTACAGTCATATATATTAACAGCATCCTGAAAAGTAGAGACCTGAAATTCCGACGTTTTACAGCTTAAGTAAGTTGCTTCTCCAGAGAATGAATAAACAGTTAGTCGGTTTGAACTAACACACAATACATAAACGTGTGTCAATTGAAGTCGGTTATTTATTTATTCACTCTTTGAAGAATCAACTTACACAAAACTATCAAACGTTAAAAATTCGATTTTCTATTCATTGAGGTATTACAAATACATCGTTAATTTTATCAATAATATTTCTGTTCACTAGAGTGTAATGAGTTTTCTTTGACATATATTTGCATGAAAATGTTTTTGTTGAATTTAACTAAGTTGATTAATTTAACTAGTACAGAAACGCACTGTGTGTAAACACGCAACTTGTTTAGACAATACAAACATGTTTTCTGAAATAACTGTGATGAAGTTGATACATATTATTTATTATTATTATTATTATTATTATTATTAGTAGTAGTAGTAGTAGTAGTAGTAGTAGTAGTAGTAGTAGTATTACTAGTGAAGGAATACTAACGTAGGACCAAATTATTGTTAAGTGCACAATCACGCAATGGTCTAATAAAACGTGAAAATCACACATCAAGTACACCATTTGCACATCTTTGAATTGTTTCTTGAAGGCTTCGTTGTTCCTTCATTCCCGTTGTTATCTTGACTGCTTTCAATTTCCTTCCCTAATCTCTTCATTTCAATCTTCTCAACCTCTTTCTCTCAGACATCCTACTTCTTACTTGTGTTACATACTACTTATATCTGCGAACACAAGTAGTATACACCGCAGTAGCAGGTATAGGAATAATAATTAAGACAAAAGAGTTGTGTAGTGTGAACAATATCGAAGATAATTCACTTGATATTGTTTTACTTGAATCTTCCCATTGATGTTTTTGGACTGAAATTGATCCGTCTCTTATTGGCATATGTGCATACTGTGCGTGTGCCTCGATATTGCCTTAATTTACTTTTTATGATGGGATAAATGACCTATCTAATTTGTTTAATTAGTTGCATGATAATAAAATAGGCTAATGTTTGGTTATGTTAACCATTCGGTTGGTTACAATAAACGCTTTTAGATATAGAGCTTAGTATTAAATATAACAGTGGTTTTATTTACTCAAAACTAATCGAGAACATATTGTTCATTATTATTATGATCTTTATTATTATTATTGTTATTATTATTATCATCACATACTATTCTTTGTTTTCTTATATCTTACAATATTTTGTTATAGCTGTTCCAAGATTATTTCACCAAAGGTAGTTGTCCAATGCTTAAAGAAGTTCGACGTCGTATTATGAACAATTTTCTAGAATCTAGACGAACACCTGTAGGAATACGTGCAAAAATTAAACGTCTGCAAAAAAGTGGACAATGGACAGATTACATTACTACCTGACAAGAAACAATCTATCAAATCAATCTTGTTCGTTTATATGCATATATATATATATATCCTCTGAAGTTTTGGTATTTCATTATTACCTCATCCATCAGCTGCTTCTGATTATATTAGTGAATAATAGTTATAGCATAGAGGGATGTATAATTACTTTTTTTCTTTCCTATAATCTTATATGATTGGGCTTCCTTCAACTGTCCTTCTCCTCTCTTCGATTCACTTCATTTTCATCAAAAAGTCATTTACATCCTATTTTTTTATCACAACCAACTGACTAGTCACTTTATACACCGTACATGCATATATTGTATGATAGTACAGTAACAATCCGATTATGTAAAATCAAACAATACTCATTTTGCATACAAACATACGCAATCCGGTCATTAAATTTCTTTTTCTGGATCGTAGTAGACTCGCCTTTATGTTTGTGTTGTACATACGCATACTTACATGTATGTATCCACATATATATATACACACGTAAAACTGTATACACAACTTATAGGTATCTACCTCGTTGTTTGTTTCATTCAGAAATTCTGTTGTACTCTGCTTGTTTCGTGTTTACTTTTTTTCATCATAGATACAGTTATACTTGTTGGTTATTTATGTTCATTGGATTGTTTGCGTTGTCTTTTGTAATCAATTCGTTTAAATTATCAGTAAAGTAATCAATTAAAAACTTGCTTTTCATTAGTTACATCATATTTCATTTTCAAATCTTTTTATCGGTGTTTGGGGGTGTTTAGATCTTTAAAATGTTTCTATTTTTCTTGTCAAACGTCTCTTACAACCGTATTTCTGTTTTTTTTTATAAATATTTTGCTTTTCACTTATAAACTAAACAGTTTTTTTCCTCAGTGAATATTTTTATTGTTCGTTCTCACTTGTCCGTCCTTCTAGTCGTTACTATGTTATGATCTCGCGTGATGATTACATTATTACTTTGTGAATATTGAACTATTCACAGTAAGGTGACTGGATTTATATATATATTCCTAAGAAGTCATTGAATTATTTCATTCCATTGGTTTTTCCTTACTTGCATACTTTCACTTCAATAAATCGTGGTTGTCAATCTATGTCTACCTACTGATTTTTGTGCTGATCAGTTTATTCGTTCATCATTTTTTCCCCACAATCTGTATTAGTTTTATTTCTAAGAGTTATTGAGTTTGATTGTCATTAGTAGTATTTTTTTCAGTATTATCATTTATATGTATTTTGTATTGCATTTCATTGATAATCAGTTTTTTTCCTAATTACATGTGTAGAGGTCCGGGCACCTGTAATATATTATGCTTCATTGTTAGTAGTGTAAGTAGTAGTAGTAGTGGTAGAGATATGTATTCATATAAACTACTTTGTTACTTTCCAAATCGTCTGTTATTTATTTTCTACGAATATGTCTTGTCTTCTTAGTGGTTTTACATGTCCAATTATTGGTTATTTCTTGCTTTTGTTTTTAAAAAAAATCATAAACCCGATTATATCAATCAACATTTCTCTCTCCCTCTCAATATGGAAATCCTTACTATTCTCCATCTACTGTACTCATGAAGATCCATTCAAAAGTTGTTTGACTATTGATAATGTTGATCATTTCTTGAAAATTAACTATTATCCTTCTTTTTTTTTTTGAAAAATAAAATTGAATGGTCAGTCATAATTTACTTCCTGATTTAAACTGGATAATGATATTGTCTTTTTGATTATGCTGAATAAAATATTGAATTATCTGAATGTAAAAAGTAGGGTAGGAATGGGGATAGGGTAAATGGAGAATTATACATTTCGTTAACCACATATACAATATACACATATTACTGTATATTTTATCCTCCCTTTTGCTAATTATTATTCTTATTATTGATATTTGTGAAGTGAAATCGCTTATTTGACGCATACATATATGTATGTATATTGGCTTACTGAAATGTTAATAATGTTTTAACTCTTTCTGTCTATTATTATATTCCATAATATTTTCTATAATAAACATTGTATATTAAATGTATTTTATTATATTTCATTAGTGTATTATAGCTTTTCAGTTGATTGTTTATCATTTATCCTCTCTCTCTCTCTCAGCTTTATTCACTCTTGCGTACTTCTATTATTATTATTATTATTATTATTATTATTATTATTATTATTATTATTATATTACTATTATTGTTTCCTACTGTATTCTTGTGGAATTTATCTCTTACCTGTATTACAAAGATATAATAATATTATTATCATCTTTTAATATTTATCTCACTTTTTAACTAATGTTTTTTTTCCTTTTTTTGTTGTTGTTGCTGCCTCAAAAGTTGTTACTTCTTTCTATATTTACAAAAATTAAAAAAAAGAATAATAAATGGATACATTAAATGTATCTACCTTTTATTCTTTCGCTATATCTTTTTTTTAAAATTTCTTTCTCTCCCATACTCTTTTGAGTTCGTTCTGTTTCTTAATTTCTACTGATAGATAATTAAAATTATAAATAAAATGGAAATGTTATCTTTGTATGTTGAAATTGTTAGTGAAAGTTATTTTTATTCAGGTGTGATTTTATGTGAATGTAAAATGTTAATTAAGTTTTCAAAAGATTTCATTCTATAGTCTTATTTCAGATCACTGCTTCGATGATATCTCTCTAACAGTCCATGAATATCTATCTTAATAGGCGCGAAGATATGCAGCTATAAAGTATTACACAGTTGACTGAAACACATTATACTTCTATAGACATGTTAACATTCTGTCAGCGCCATATATGTCAAAAATAAGCTAAACTTAAATGGGGAGTTTTTATGTACAAGGATTTCCTGATTAGGCTTCTAATATAATCACTAACCGACATAAAGTTCGCCTATTTATTCATTATATTACTTACTTACTTACATATGCCTGTTACTCCTAATGGAGCATAGGCTGCCGATCAGCATTATCCAACCCACTCTGTCCTGGGCCTTCCATTCTAGTTCCATCCAATTCTTGTCCATTTTTCTCATGTATATCTCCATTTCCCGGTGTATTGTGTTCTTTGGTCTTCCTCTTTTCCTTTGGCCTTGAGGATTCCATGTGAGAGCTTGTCTTGTGACGCAGTTGGGTGCTTTCTTCAATGTGTGTCCTATCCACTTCCAGCGCTTCTTCCTGATTTCTTCCGCCGCTGGGATCTGGTTTGTTCCTTCGCACAGTAGGTCGTTGCTAATAGTCATGACTGTTAATAAACACCTCTATCTTCTGAATGGTGGCTTTTGTAGTTTTCCAGGTTTCCGCCCCATACAGTAGAACTGTCTTGACATTTGTGTTGTAAATCCTGACCTTGATGTTGGTTGACAGTTCTTTTGAGTTCCAGATGTCCTTCAGTTGTAAATATACTGCTCTCGTTTTACCGATCCGCGCTTTCACATCTGCATCAAGTCCACCGTGTTCATCAATGATGATCCCCAGTGGTCTACAGGTTAAGCGTTCGCGCGCGAGACTGAAGGCCCTGAGTTTTAATCCCGCGAGCGGGACCGTGGATGTGCACCGCTTAGTAGTCCCACTATTGGACAAAACGGGCCTCCAGTGCTCACAGGTTTTCAATGGTGGTCTAACACCAATCAGTTCATGATCTCAATCACTTGGTATTGTTTACTTGAATCTATTCATTATATTACCAGTTTCTTAATTCTACACGAAGTGTTAATGATATTATTCCAAACAAAGATTAAGAATTTACAATTAAAATATAGAGCTCATAGAAGATACAATCTAACCAAAACGATCTATCTTAAGTATGAATTTCCACTATCATTTTAAATTTCTGTAGTCACAGTCCTACTCCATTTGTATTGAAAACTAGATGAAATGACGGTAAAGAAAATAACTTTAATACTAATTTTTATCATTGTTAGAATGGATTTGAATTATTCCGTTGTTAATAATATTAACTGGATTTTAATATATATATATATATATATATATATATATATATATATATATATATATATATATATGACAGTATTATAACCGTTGCACAAGTGAGTGGCTATCTGAACTCAGTAGTTCATTAGTAAATGCATCAGCTTTCGAAGCGAATTGTTCGAATATAAGCTTAATCATTATCTAACTGATCTATGCCCAATAGAAAGAAATCGTACATTTTAAATCCTAATGCTAGCTGATAATCCATTTTTCCCATGAAAATTTAATATTAACTCTTGTATTTTTTTTAAAGAAAATTCTTAGTATCATATATTTATTGCATAACAATTGACAAGATTAAATTATGATTATTACTATTTCTGTATGACAAGAAAAAACTTTATGAATCACTACATTTCCTACTCAATTATTCAGTGAATATCATCAACAATATAAAATTCAAGAAGTCCCGCGGTCAATTTCAAACTAGAAGGAAAAAATCCTTTGCTTTGTGACGCGATTTTTCTTGTTGACGAGCATAATTCATAATAAAAAGTCATTGTGAGAGTCATCGACTTATGGTGATTTTTGTGTAAAGTATTACTTCATATTTAATCGTATATCCAATTCTGACTAGTGTTGGAGACGGATGGAAGAAAGTTAGAGACGGCAAAACCGAAACTTGGCATCAGTCCATAAAGTCACTAACTTTTAGTCTGAGCCATGTTAGTAGATACAGATTACTTGATTGGGGTACGCATGACTATCGTATCCAATGGTTAGAGACTCGGAGTGACATGGCTCAAAATTGATCACAATAGCATAGGTGTATACACTTTATATCTTCCCTCAAACTGTGAGATTAAATTTACTTTATATCTTTCTACGCGCTATTTCTTTCTTTCTATATCATATCTTTATATGCAATCCTTTTTGTTTTATATATTACTACCATTGAAGTAATTGCTTCTATGAATTCGATGTTCATCTTATTGTACTAATGAAGTATGACAACTTGGACCGATGTATATATGTTCTTGGTCCTACGTTACCGACGACTAACTGACCATTTAAAAAAAAATCAATTGTCA